GCACAGCCTCCCACCCCCTAAAACGTTCCCCTCGACACAGGATCCCCGATGAACCCCGAGCAAGTCCCTCCCGGTTCTGGTCCTCAGCCATGAGAATGGCCCTCACCCATTCATTACCTGGTGTTTTGGACATAAACTCTGGGTTAGGAAATGCTGCCTTTCCTGCCAGGAATTTCCCCTCTTTCCGGAAGCCCTGCTTGCCCCCAGAGTTTCCAGGGGCACGGAGAGTCCCACCCTCAATACCCGGCGTTCTGCCTGCAGACAGAAAGTCCAGCTTATCCCAACAGGAAGTCGTCCCCCCCCCCAAGCCGTGGGAATGATTTGATTGGCATTTCAAATAATTACCCAGAGTTCTTTGCTTCGAACAATGGTTAAACTCCTGGGGTCTATTTTTTTTTAAATATGTTTTTATTGGTTTTTAGAGAGAGAGGAATGGAGAGGGAGAGGGAGACAGAAACATCAATGATAAGAGCAAAACATCTATGGGTGGCCGCCTGCACGCTGCAACCCGGGCATGTGCCCTGACCCAGAATTGAACCGTGACCTCCTGGTTCATAGGTCCGCGCTCAACCCCTGAGCCATGCCGGTCTGGCTCATGGGGTCTATTTTATGCCCTTATCTTAACCCCCCTGTGCTCTATCTGTGAACAGGGAGAAAATACTAGTGCCTGTCTTCCTGGGGTGTGGCGAGGGCTATGTGAGCTAATCTATGCAGAGTGCTTAGCCCAGTACCTGCCATATCCTTTATAATAAAACCCTAATATGCAAATCGACTGAACGGCCGAACCACCAGTCGCTATGATGTGCATTGACCATCGCTATGATGTGAGCTGCCCCCTGGTGGTCAGTGTGCTCCCACAGGGGGAGTGCCACTCAGCCAGAAGCCTGGTTCACGGCTGGTGAGCATAGCGGTGGTGGCGGGAGCCTCTCCCACCTCCGCTGCAGGCGGGTGGTAAGGAGCGAGGGGTCCCGGCCTGCAAGAGCCCCAGACTGTGAGAGGGATGTCTGATTGCCGGCTTAGGCCCAATCCCCGGGGGATGGGGGGGGGGGGAGTGGGCCTAAGCCAGCAGGTGGACATCCCCCGAGGGGTCCTGGACTGTGAGAGGGCGTAGGCCAGGCTGAGGGACCCTTTCCAGTGCACAGTTTTCGTGCACCGGGCCTCTAGTTGTGTTAATAACCGTCGACTCGAACCTGAGGGAAGGTGGTCAAAGGCCAGGACCCCGATAGTTGTGGTCCCCACATTGAGCGCTTGCTCTGGGCCCTGGAGCCGTGGGCCAGTTCTTGCCTGGGGTCTTCGGGAAGGGCTGGGGGAGATTCAGGCTCTAACCTTCCCCACCCCCACCCACACAGTCTCTGCTGACACAGAAGTGGTGGGGGGAGATGGACAGCTCCACGCCCATCTGGGCCCTGGTTCTCGCCTTCTTTTGCCCCCCACTCATCTACACCAACCTCATCACCTTCAGGTCAGTTCCGGGGTTAGGTTGGTAGGAGGGCGCTGCTCATCATTCTTCCTGCTCAGCTCTGCCCACCTCTCAGTCCTCCCAGTGCTTCCGCCTTATTTCCTCTCTTTCCCTCCCCAACACTGGGGCACGTTCTGGGAGGTGAGCTTTCGGGGGGCTCTCTATCTCTACGGGCAATTCTTCTGCCCGCAGGCATGGCTCTGGGATGGTTCCCTTTAGGGTGACTCTAGCGGGGCACCTCCCCGTCTCCCTGCCATATCTCTGGGTAAAGAAGCTGGGTATCTCTGGAGAATTCCTCTCCCACTGCTCCCTCCCCCGTTCTCACTCTGTGCCTCTCTCCATGCCAGGAAGTCAGCGGAGGAGTCCACACAGAAGGACCTGGGGTTTGACGTGGACGGGAGCCTCAACGGGGAAGGGCCTGTCAGGTGAGCGCAGCACCAGCACCGCACGCGGTGGGGCGGCCTGGGCAGCCGCAGGAGCTCCGGGTACCGGGAGCGAGGCCGGAGCAGAGAAGGGGGCTTCCGGAGGTACTGGTTTCACGCAGCCACTGAAGATACTGAGGCAGTTTCCCAAATGCCGAGCTCAAGGCGTGGTCAAGGTTCGGTTCTGCCACCCAGGAGTTCCTCATTGGAAATAAATTTGCTTCACGCTACATGTACTTCTATCTCAGTGATGGCGAACCTTTTGAGCTCGGCGTGTCAGCATTTTGAAAAACCCTAACTTAACTCTGGTGCCGTGTCACATATAGAAATTTTTTGATATTTGCAACCATAGTAAAACAAAGACTTACATTTTTGATATTTATTTTATATATTTAAATGCCATTTAACAAAGAAAAATCAACCAAAAAAATGAGTTCGCGTGTCACCTCTGACACGCATGTCATAGGTTCGCCATCACTGTTATCTCAATAAGCAAGTGGAACTGGGTGGATTTGGTTAATTTAGGGAGACTTTGCCTATTTTTTTTTCTTACTCCAGAGCCTTTGCTTTAAAAAAAAAAAAAAAAAAAGTTTATATTGATCTCAGAGAGAGAGGAAGGGAGAGGGGGAGAGAGAGAAACATCGATGTGAGAGAGAAACATTGATCGGTGGCTTCCTGAACATACCCCAACCAGGGACCAAACTGCAACCTGGTCATGTGCCCTGACTGGGAATCAAACCTGTGACCTTCCGGTGCTTGGACAATACTCAACCAACTGAGCCACACTGGCCAGGGCCAGGGCCTTTGCTCTTCATCTCTATGCCACGGTACCCATGAAAGGTGTTTTCAAAATCGGCCCTAAGCAAATGAAAGGAAATATTTATCAGTCTTCTGATAAATCTGCAGAGTGGAGGTGCATATTTGAGGGTCCAAGACAGAGAAAGTCAGAGATTGTGATGGTGAAAGAAGGGGGATTTGGACTTTAGACAAGAGTCAGGAGTCACCCCAGGGGCCAGAGGCCAGAAGGGTGGCGGTAAGAGGTGAAAGGTCAGCAGTCTTTTTTTTTTTTTTATATATATTTTACTGATTTTTTACAGAGAGGAAGGGAGAGGGATAGAGAGCCAGAAACATCGATGAGAGAGAAACATCGATCAGCTGCCTCCTGCACACCTCCCACTGGGGATGTGCCTGCAACCCAGGTACATGCCCTTGACCGGAATCGAACCTGGGACCTTTCAGTCCGCAGGCCGACGCTCTATCCACTGAGCCAAACCGGTTAGGGCAAGGTCAGCAGTCTTGATGGTAGGGGCTTTCAGAGGTCAGAGGTCACAAGTCAAGGACATGGCAGGCGGACCGCAGACTTAGTTTCAGTTCGGCAGGGTCAGAAATCGTGAAGGTGCAGGAGGTCACGTGACAGGTTAGTGGTCTTGACAGTGGTGAAGGTCGGGTTCAGAGGTCAGGCTGAGCTCTCCCTTCTCTCTCCCCCCCCCACCCCCAGGGCCAGCAGATCCCCCTGAGAAGATGCCTTTGGGGGTGTTGAGTCAGCCCAGCCGGAGGGGGTGCTCCCCACGCCTGTGGCGCTGGTCCCAGTTCTGGGGGGCGCCGGTGACGGCCTTCCTGGGCAACGTGGTCAGCTACCTGCTCTTCCTCATGCTCTTCGCTCGGGTGCTGCTCATCGACTTCCAGCCCTCGGCGCCCGGCGCCCTGGAGCTGCTGCTCTACTTCTGGGTCTTCACCCTGCTCTGCGAGGAGTTCCGCCAGAGCCTGGGGGGCGGCTGGGGCAGCCTGGCCACCGGCGGGCCCGGGCCCGGCCACTGCCAGGCCCCGCTGCGCCGCCGGCTGCACCTCTACCTCATGGACACGTGGAACCAGTGTGACCTGGTGGCCCTCACCTGCTTCCTCCTGGGCGTCGGCTGCCGGTGAGTGCCCGTGGCTCCGAACCCCTGACCCCTGGGAGGGAGGGAGAGAGGGAGGGAGAGAGAAACATCGATTTGCTGTTCCAATTATTTTATTATTATTATTTTTAAAATATATTTTTATTGCCAGAACCGGTTTGGCTCAGTGGATAGAGCGTCCGCCTGAGGACTGAAGGGTCCCAGGTTCGATTCCGGTCAAGGGCATGTACCTGGGTTGCGGGCACATCCCCAGTGGGAGATGTGCAGGAGGCAGCTGATCGATGTTTCTCTCTCATCGATGTTTCTAACTCTCTATCTCTCTCCCTTCCTTTCTGTAAAAAATCAATAAAATATTTTTTAAAAAAATAAATAAAATAAAATATATTTTTATTGATTTCAGAGAGGAAGGGAGAGGGGAGAGAGATAGAAACATCAATGATGAGAGAGAATCATTGATCGCTGCCTCCAGCACACCCCCAACTGGGGATCAAGCCTGAAACCCAGACACGTGCCCTGACTGGGAATCAAACTGTGACCTCCTGGTTCATAGGTCGACACTCAACCACTGAGCCATGCCAGCTAGGGCTATTACTATTTTTTCTAAAAATATTTTTATTGATCTCAGCGAGGAAGGGAGAGAGAGAGAGAGAGAGAGAGAGAATCATTGATTGGCTGCCTCCTGCATGCCCCCTACTGGGGATCAAGCCCACTACCCGGGCATGTGCCGTTGACCGGAATTGAACCCGGGACCCTTCAGTCTGCAGGCCGATGTTCTATCCACTGAGCCAAACCGGCTAGGGCTGTTGTTCCAATTATTTATGCATTTGTTGGTTGCTTCTTCTAATGTCCTGCCGGGGGAGAGACCCCGAAACGTTGGTGTATCTAACTAACTGAGCTACCCGGCCAGGACCTGTCTCCGATTATTCTTAAAAAACAAACAGAAACCCATTCTTGATGGAACGTACTGCGTAAAGATGGTCTAGAAACAATTTGATCCCGCGGGGAGAGCTGCTTCAGGGATGAGAGGACTAAAGGGAGAACCCGCTATTTATGCTCGATCTGGAGCTCACTGGAGGTTTCTCTGAGCCCCCAGACCTGGCCCGGCATTGGCACCACCCTCACCTCTTTCCTCTTCCTCCACAGCCCAGGCCCTGGCCTCCTGGCCCCTGCCTCTCTCTGTCCCCCCCCCCCCCTCCATCTCCATGGCTGCCTATCTGGCCTGGACCCTCACCCCAGCCTCCTGGACTCCAGGCTCTTCCCTCCAGCCCATCCCCACAAGGGTCCTTCCAAGACCAGAGCTGACCCAGCGCTCCCCACCCCCACCCCCCGCGCCTGGACCTGGCATTGGGGTCCCGCCTGTCTAGGCCGCCCCTCTCTGCAGCGCTGTCTCCTGATTTCTTTGTTTCTCTTCCTCCGCACCCCGGCCTCTCTGAAACCTTCCAGTTCCTGCATCCCAGGTCCAGGGGCTGTGACCTTGACCCTGATATTTTGAGTCTGTGTAATTATAAATTTGTAATCAGGATTTCACCGGAGCTGACGGATTCTTACCAAGGAAGTACTTTGAAACTGCCTTGATCAGTTTTATGTGCAGGGCAATGAAACTAGCTTCAGTTATTCTCTGTTTCTGACATGATTTCCGCACGGTTACCTAGCATCTGGGTTGAGTTTTACACAAACATCGGTTCATCATTGGCGTTTTTGTCTGGATTGGATTTTGCCCAGTTTCGGGTCTGTGTTTGTGAATTGTACTTTTCCCGGGTGAAATGTCATCGGTTCAGATTTCATCAGGGAGGCCTGAATGTTGTGTCAGTGATTTAGTCCACAAAAATGCTGACCGTTTCAACCATTTCTTAGCTGATTTATAAAAAACAGATTTTGAGCCCTGACCGGTTTGGCTCAGTGGATAGAGCATCGGCCTGCAGACTGAAGGGTCCCAGGTTTGATTCCAGTCAAGGGCATGTACCTTGGTTGCGGGCACATCCCCAGTAGGGAGTGTGCAAGAGGCAGCTGATCAATGTTTCTAACTCTCTATCCTACTCCCTTCCTCTCTGTAAAAAAACAATAAAATATATTTAAAAAAAAAAACAAAAACAGATTTTGAGGAATTTCCCCTCAATTACTTTCTGTTGCCAAGAATGGGCGACATAACGTTGGTTCCTTCCTGCCATAGTTCCCGGATCATACCGTGTGGTGCCCAGAGAGTGGCACAAAGGGCACATTTAAACGTCCTTGGGAACACATTGTCTTTGGGTCTTGGCACGCGCTGGTCCCCCCTTCCTGAAACACTGCCCCTTCCTCTCCTTGGCCACGCCAACTCCTGCACTTCCTGTAGGCCTCAGGCTTGCGGCCTCTGTCTTTAAAGCCTTCCTTTATCCCACCCAGACTCTGGGTCCCTCCTTTGTGCTCCCCTAATGTCCTGCGATCACCCACAATGGTACTTAGAGTATGGCCTGTGCTCTCTCTCTCTCTCCTTGAGTCATCACTCTATCTCAATTGAAAAGATCTTTGAAATGCAGTCTATTGCCAAAGAAATGCAAAAATATGTCCTCACTGAACAAGATGAAGCAAGTGAAGGAATAGAACGGGAACCAACGGTTTCCTCAGTTTTTTCAAGTGTCTCACTTTCTCAGCAGTGACTTCCCTCGACAGTTGGGTGCACACCCCGCCTGTTCTTTCTCTGTGCATTTACATGGAGAGATGCCGATACTTCTTTGCTACACAAACGACACTATATTTTATGTATCTTTCTGCAACTTTTCCTTTTCACCTACAACATTTTTCCCATGTCAATGTTTGCAAATATACGGTATTCTTTGAAAATATGCTGCATCGGGCCCTAACCAGTTTGGTTCAGTGGATAGAGCGTCGGCCTGCGGACTCAAGGGTCCCAGGTTCGATTCCGGTCAAGGGCATGTACCTGGGTTACGGGCACATCCCCAGTGAGGGGCGTGTAGGAGGCAGCTGATCGATGTTTCTCTCCCATCGATGTTTCTAACTCTCTATCCCTCTCCCTTCCTCTCTGTAAAAAATCAATAAAATATATATTTTTGAAAAAAAATAAAATATGCTGCATCGGGTTCCAGAAGGAGGGAACCAGTGGCTAAAGATCAGACAAGACAGGCTTCTCCCGGCCAGAATGTAACGAGTGAACGCGTTCTTTTCCTAAGGCGCGGAGACAAAAATCCCGCCCTTGAAGAGAGAGAAATCGGGCCCAAAGAGTCTCCACAAAGTCTCTTTCATTTTCTGCGCCAGATAGCCATCACGTATTCGCTGCTCTGGGGCCAGTCCCGGGCTGATCATGTTTCTTTTTCTACAAAGTCCTCGCTGTGGGGACACCGCCCCTTTTGAGAACAAAGAGCTTTGTGGACAGAGTCTGGTGACTATTTACAGGGGCTACACCCTCGTCTCTTCTCAGCGGATTCACTGGGAGGAATGCCTCTCCCATGCTCTGTTAGAAATGCTACCCAGGAAGACGACAGGATCACTTTATCCCAACAGCAATGCCAGAGAGTTTGGCAGGACCCTGAGCTTGCACTTATCTCTTGTATTTTTGTATATAATATCTCCTGAGATGAAAGGGGAAGGCCTTGTTCGCCCATGCTCTAGGGCAGTGGTTCTCAACCTTCCTCATGCCGCGACCCTTTAATACAGTTCCTCATGTTGCGGTGAGCCCCAACCATAACATTATGTTCGTTGCTACTTCATCACTGTAATGTTGCTACGGTTATGAATCGTCATGTAAATATCTGATATGCAGGATGTCTTTTCATTGTGACAAATTGAACATAATGAAAGCATAGTGATTCATCACAAAAACAATACGTAATTATATTTGTGTTTTCCGATGGTCTTAGGCGACCCCTGTGAAAGAGTCGTTCGACCCCCAGGTTGAGAACCGCTGCTCTAGAGGTACCAGCGTATTTTAGACATTTTGTCAAGCTTAGCGTTTTCTAGGGGAGAGGAGAAGTATTGCGTGGAGAGAAAAAAAAAAAATCCCAAGATCTCGGCTTACCGTGGAGAAATTTCCAGCAAATTCCAGAACTGCATGGGTGAATTGTTTTGTTTTACCAGTCCCTTCCAGATGGACATTTTGGTTGTTTCTAATTTTTTATTATTCCAAAGTAATACAAGTTTACATGGGAGATTTAAATTTTGTAGGTTGAAGTGAACCTATTCTTGATGTGGATAGATTTCACCCACCCTCAGGGTAAGAAAGTGCCCTCTGAAGGACATGCTTGGCAAAATCTAGTATTTTCAGTCTTTAAAATTTTGTAGCTCTCAACTTAGCTTAACTTTTTTTTTTTTTTGTGCCAAAAATGACCTCTCTTTTTTATATTTATGCATCCTTGACTACTAGTTAAGTTGGGCATCTTTTCATAACTAATGGTCACATGGACTTCTGTCAATTATCTTTTTATTTATTTTTTTAATCCTCACCCGAGGATATTTGTTCCAAATATTTATAGAGAGATGAAAAGGAGGAGAAGGGGAAAGAGGGAGAGAGAGAGAGAGAGAGAGAGACATGGACGTGAGAGACACATTGACACATTGATTGGTTGCTACCGGGACTGGGGAACTTGCAACCAAGGTATGTGCCCTTGACCAGGAATCAAACTTGTGGCCCTTCGGTCCAAGGATCGACGCTCTAACCATTGAGCAAACAGGCCAGGGCTCAATTGTCTTTTCATATCCTTTGCCTCCACTTAAAAATAATTTTTATGTTCATTGATCTCTTGCATATCTATCTATCTATCTATATCTATATCTATATCTATATCTATATCTATATCTATATCTATATCTATATATCTGGATCCTAATCCTTGGTGGTTTTGTTCTATCTTCTCAAACTCTGACGCTTGTCTTTTTACTTTGCTACCTTAAGCATTCTTTTAGTCTGTAACTTTTCCTTTGAAATAACCAAGACTAACAAAAAATATTGCAAACACAGTACAGAGAATGGCCATACACCTTTCACCCCGATCCTCCAAATGTTAACATCTTACCTTATCGAGACCCGAAATCTTATTCAAACTAACCCAGCTGTCCCACTGATGTCCTTCTCTGGTCCAGGCGCCAGTCCACGACCCCATACTGCCGTTGGTTGTCGTGTCTTGAACTTGATGTTACGGGGACCTCCTAGTTTTTTGTTAAGGCTGTGCTTCGTGCGGCTGGTATTTAGTGGATGCCCGTGCTGGCCCGGCCCAGCTGGCACTGAGATCTGCGTGCACCCGGGTGAATGGGGGAGGCCACAGCCCATCTGCAGCCTGGTGCGGGGAAGACGCAGGTTTCCTATGCACCCTGGGACCCTTGAGTGACCCCTGTCTCGTCTCCCACACCCCAGGCTGACCCCGGGCCTGTACGACCTGGGCCGCACAGTCCTCTGCCTGGACTTCATGGTCTTCACGCTGCGCCTGCTGCACATCTTCACGGTCAATAAACAGCTGGGGCCCAAGATCGTCATCGTGAACAAGATGGTGAGGGGTGGGGCCTGGGTGGGGCCCGGTGGGCGGGGCCAGAGCCTGGAGGGCGGGGCCAGAGCCCTGGGGGTGGGGCCAGAACCCTGGAGGGCGGGGCCAGGTCCCGAGAGGGCGGGGCCAGATCCCTGGGGGCGGGGTCAGAGCCCTGGGGGCGGGGCCAGGTCCAGGGAGGGCGGGGCCAGAGCCCTGGGGGTGGGGCCAGAGCCCTGGGGGCGGGGCCAGGTCCCGGGAGGGCGGGGCCAGCCTTGGTCTCATCTCCCTCTCCTGCAGATGAAGGATGTGTTCTTCTTCCTCTTCTTCCTCGGAGTGTGGCTGGTGGCCTACGGGGTGGCCACGGAGGGTCTCCTCAGGCCCAGGGACCAGGACCTCCCGCAGATCCTGCGCCGCGTCTTCTACCGGCCCTACCTGCAGATCTTCGGGCAGATCCCGCAGGAGGAGATGGACGGTAAGGAGGGAGGGGGGCTGGCACCCTCTGAGTCCCTTCTCTCTCTTCCCCGTCTCTGGGTGGGTCTCTGCACCCTTCTCTCTGGGTCCCCGTCTCTCTCTGCATCTCTAAGCAGCCCCCCAACTCCCCCTTCATCCCCAGGGGACTCTGGCCTCCTCTCTCTGCATCTCTGTCCTCTTGTCTTTGGGTCTAGAACCCTTGCTGTGTTTCGTTGGGTCTTGTCCCCTTGCTTTCTGGGATTCCGTCTCCCCACGCCCCTCTAGATTTTTTTTAAAAAATTGATTTCAGATCCAAAGACAGAGAAACAGCGATCAGACTATCAATCCCCAGAGGGAAAGTAGGGGAGGGAGGGGGTAAGGGGAAGAGATCAACCAAAGGACTTATATGCATGCATATAAGCCAAACCAATGGACACGGACAACAGGGGGATGAGAGCATGAGTGGGGGGCGGGGGGGAGAGTGGGGGTTCATGGGGGGATGAGGACACATTTGTAATACCTTAACCAATAAAGAAATTAAAGATAAAAAAATAATAAATAAATAAATCAGGAGAATTCAATACACATAAAAAAAGGCAATAAAAAATTGATTTCAGAGGGGAAGGGAGAAAAATAAATAAGCAAACAAACAAACAAAGAGGACGGAGAGGGAGAGATAGAAACATCCATGATGAGAGAGAATCATCGATTGGCTGCCTCCTGCACGCCCCCCACTGGGGATCCAGCCTGCAACCCGGGCACGTGCCCTGACGGGGAATCGAACTGTGACTTCCAGTTGATAGGTTGATGCTCAACCGCTGAGCCACGCCGGCCGGGTGCCCCTCTGGATTTCCGTCTTCGTTCGGTCTCTGTCTCTCTGCCCCCATCTGAGTGTCTCCCTCCACAGTGGCCCTCATGGATCACGTCAACTGCTCCTCGGAGGTGGGCTTCTGGGCGCGCCCGGTGGGGGCCCAGGCGGGCTCCTGCGTCTCCCTTTACGCCAACTGGCTGGTGGTGCTCCTCCTCGTCATCTTCCTGCTCGTGGCCAACATCCTGCTGGTCAACCTCCTCATCGCCATGTTCAGGTGAGGAGCCCCGCCCGCGCTGATCTGAGGTCACCCACCCTGACATTGACCCTGGCATGACCTTTGACCCCAGCATGATTGATTCTTGATCCCAGCCTCATCAACTCACCTTTAGTCCCTAAAATCTAATGCTGCCCTGTCCTCAGGCCCAGGCAGACTCTGCTTCTGACCTGGACTGTGGACTCTGATCCTCTCCCTGAGTCCAGGCTGAGGGGAGAAACCTGGGGTTTTTCATAAATACCCTTTACCATGTTGAGGAAGTTTCCTTTTATTCTGACTTTTATGAGGCTTTTTATTTTTATTTTTAAATATATTTTATTGATTTTTTACAGAGAGGAAGGGAGAGGGATAGAGAGTCTGAAACATTGATGAGAGAGAAACATCGATCAGCTGCCTCCTGCACACCCCCTCCTGGGGATATGCCCGCAACCAAGGTACAGGCCCTTGACAGGAATCGAACCTGGGACCCTTCAGTCCGCAGGCCGACGCTCTATCCACTGAGCCAAACCGGTTAGGGCGAGGCTTTTTTTTTTAATCATGAAAAGGTGTTGAATTTGGTCAAATGCCTTTTCTGTGTCTCTGGGTCGGTTGAGATGATGATGTGATTTGTTTCCCTTTGTTCTATTACGGTAGAGAATTACATTGGTTGATTTTTATATGTTGACCCACCTTTGTATTCCTGGGATAAATCCTACTTGGTCATGGTATATAATCCTTTTACTATCCTTCTGAATTACGTTTGCTAGTATTTTGCTGAGAAATTTCGCATGTATATTGATCTATGCCCTAACTCAGTGATGGCGAACCTATGACACGCGTGTCAGAGGTGACACGCAAACTCATTTTTTGGGTTGATTTTTCTTTGTTAAATGGCATTTCAATATATAAAATAAATATCAAAAATATAAGTCTTTGTTTTACTATGGTTGCAAATATTTAAAAATTTCTGTATGTGACACGGCACCAGAGTTAAGTTAGGGTTTTTCAAAATGCTGACACGCGGAGCTCAAAAGGTTCGCCATCACTGCCCTAGCCCAATCATGTCAAACTCTGAGACTCACCAGCCACGAGTTTGACGTGCTTGCCCTAGCCAGTGCTCAGTGGTTAGAGCATCAGCCTGAGGACTGAAGGGTGGTGTGTTTGATTCCGGTCCAGAACATGTACCTCGGTTGCAGGCTCGATCCCCAACTGGGCCACGTGTGGGAGGCAGCCAATCAGTGTGTCTCACATTAATGTTTGTGTTTCTGTCTCTCCCCCTCCCTTCCACTCTCTCTAAAAATCAATGGAAAAAATATCGAGTGAGGATTAACAAAACAAAACAAGAATATTGATCTGTAATTTTCTTTTCTTTTGATATTGGTATAATGGGAAATGCTGGCATCATAGAATGATTCAGGAAATGTTCTCTCCTATTCACCTTTTTGGAAGCGTTTGAAAAGGATTGGTGTTGTTTTTTAAATGTTTGATAGAATTCACCAGTGAAGCCTGGCCCTGGGCTGTGTGTGTGTGTGTGTGTGTGTGTGTGTGTTTGATTAGTTATCTCTTTACTTGTTTACTTGTGATAGGTCTTTTGAGATTTTCTATTTCTTCTTGTGTCAGTTTAGGTAGTTTGTGTGTTTCTAGGAACTTTTCCATTTTATCTAGGTTATCTTTTTTAAAAACTTGATTTTAGAGGAGGGTGGAGAAGAACATTGATTTGTTGTTCCGCTTATTTCTGCATTCGTTGGTTGATTCTTGTATGTGCCCTGACCGATGATGGAACCCGCAACCCTGGCGAGCCGGGATGAGGCTCTAACCAGCTGAGCTACCCGACCACCATACTATTCTCTTATAATCCTTTTTATTTCTGGAAGTTTGGAAGTAATGTCCCCATTTTATTTCTGATTTTAATTGTGTTCAGACTGACTTTGGAACCTGACTACAACCTCTACCCTAATCCATGACACCATCCCCTTCTTGACCTCTAATCTCTTACCCTTGGCCCTCCTACCCTAACTACTAATTGCATTTCGGAATAACCTCCGACATTATTGATTCTACCATCTGGTAATAACCTCCGACATTATTGATTCTGACATCTATCCGCCTGCTGCCTTGGACTTTGAACGCATTGCCTGACATCTCACCTTGATCCTCCGCCCTTGACTGGGCAGCGACCTCTGGTGACCCTTGACCTCTGGTCCCCACAGCTACACCTTCGGCAAAGTACAGGGCAACAGCGACCTCTATTGGAAGGGCGCAGCGCTACAGCCTCATCCGGGAATTTCACTCTCGGCCGGCGCTGGCCCCACCCTTCATCATCATCTCGCACGTGCGCCTCCTCTTCCGTGGATTGCGCAGGCACCGGGCCAGCCTGCCGGCCTCCCCCATCCTACGGCATTTTCGTGAGAAGCGGGTCTTGGCCCAACACAGAGGAACCCCAGGGGCGGGGCCCTGAGAGAAAGAACACGGATAAGCCGGGGAGGATGGCGGAGGCGCCGGTGGGCGTGGCTCAGGCTGTCGGGGGCGTGGTCTGAGCTCAGGCAGGGTTTTGGGTGGGGATTGCGGGACGGGACGGGTTCCGGCCCCAGGAGGGGCGGGCCCTTGACTCTGTCCGGACCCTGCCCTCCAGGGGTCCACCTCCCTAAGGAAGCCGAGAGGAAGCTGTTGACGTGGGAATCGGTGCAGAAGGAGAATTTCCTATTGGCGCGGGCGAGGGACAAGCGGGAAAGTGACTCGGAGCGTATGAAGCGCACGTCGCAGAAGTGAGGGCGGGGCCTGGCCGGGGGCGGGGCTTCTGGCCTCTGGGGTGTGTCCCGAGACATAGATTGGTTGGGAGGATGGGCTGGGTTTGCAGAGCACCAGGCTGGAGGCGGGGCATGAGTGGGCGGAGCCTGAGTGGGCGGGGTCCTGGAAAGCGGGAAGGGGCGGAGCCACAGGGGCGGGGCCCCAGGTGGGCGGAGCGCGGACCTAGGTGGGCGGGGCCCCGGGTGGGCGGGGCGAGTGGGCTCCCCGCGGCTCCGGCCTGAAGTCCTGGGTGCGCAGGGTGGACATGGCGTTGAAGCAGCTGAGGCAGGTCCGCGAGTACGAGCAGCGTCTGAAGGGCTGGAACAGGAGGTGAGGAGTGCGGGCCAGGCTGGGCGGTGTGGGCGGGGCGGGAGGCAGTGGGTTTCCGTAGGGCGCCCCGATATCCCATCTGCTCCCCAGGTCCAGCACTGTAGCCGCGTCCTGGGCTGGGTGGCCGAGGCCCTGAGCCGCTCTGCGTTGCTTCCGCCAGGGGGGCCTTCACCCCCGGCCCCGCCGGGGCCCAAAGGTCAGTGCGTAGGGCCGACCTGCATGTACCTCCGGCCTCTGTCACGGCCTCCTGTGCGCCTCCTTTCCCGGCCCCTGTTCCCCTATTTCTCTTTCTCATTGGCGATCCTTTCTTTGTCCCTCCTCCACTCTCTCGGCTTCCTTTGGACCTTTCACGGGTCTTTCTGCTTCTCGCTGGTGTCCCATTGTTTCTGTCTTCTGCTCTGTGCCCACCACCTGTTCTCTCCCTTCTCCCTCCCCCAGACTGAGCCCTGATGGCAGGCTTCAAGGAGTAGCGCCACGGGGAGTTGTGCCCCCAGAGGAAGGCCTAGCTGGCCCTGGACCCCAGTACGCGGTGGCCCTGTCTGGAGGTGGGCCCCATGCCGTGGACTGGATCGCTGTCGGCGCCACTGCAGGAGTCTCACCCGTTGGAACCACAGCAGGCCCGGCCCCTCCCAGAACCAGCCCCACTCTGGGAGGATCAGCCTCGGGAGCCCAGGCAGGGCCCCCCTTAAGGCCCCGCCACAGCCCGCTGGGCGGGAGAAGGCTACAGGGCCCTGGGGGCACAGGGACCACAGAGGCACTCAGCTCCCCACACCGGGGAAATAAAGCCACTTGAGAGTCTGGGTGCTTGATTCTTGGGGAACTGGTGGTGTCCAGATCCTTTGGGCATGGGGGTTAGGGCTGGGGGGGCGGGGGTTGTGACCTTGGTCAGTTTGCTGTATTTCCGACATCTCGGGGTCTGTTCCCTCCGCTCAGCCCCACTATTCCTATCTGACTCCGGCCCAGCCCCTCTTGTCTGGGCTATTTTGATGGCTCTCACTTCAGTGGGAAGAGAACCATCCGCACCCCCCTGCTCCCTACTTTACAGAACTCGGTGGCGGAAGCAAATTCTTTCTTGGAGCGGGGAGGGTGGGCGCTGTGTACATCTGCATTGGCAACAGGGGAACAGATGATGCAAATTTGAGCGGATAACTGCCTATGTGTCTTTAAAAAGTCTAATTAGTGGGAAATTACAGGCCACGCGCACATGGAATCGAAGCAAATATGCATCATTATCCATGCAGTTTAACTAAACAACCCATAACAAACTAAACTGGTAATGACAAGGCGGAACTGACAGCAATTATTAGTTAAATAGCAGGAAAGCCGGCAACCACCAGCGCATCCAGAAATCACAACCAAAACACCCTTTCTCCAATTGGAGGAGTTCCAGCTATCTGCCTCTTTGGGTGCAGAGTGGCTTTGAAACATGGCCAAGTGTTGTGCGGCAACCAGATTTCAATGGAAAAAATATCCTCGGGTAAGGATTAACAAACAAAACAAAATTAGATTTAAAAAAAGAAAGAGTGAGGCTTCCTCTTTGCCGCATCTACTGCGAGGATGAAGACCATTTTCAGCGATCGGACTGTGGACGTCCCAGAAAATGTGGACATCACGCTGAAGGGACGCACAGTGATTGTGAAGGGCCCCAGGGCCACCCTGCGGAGGGACTTCAACCACATCCATGTAGAGCTCAGTCTCCTTGGAAAGAAAAAGAAGAGGCTCCGGGTTGACAAATGGCGGGGAAATGGGAAGGAACTGGCCACAGTTCGCCCTATCTGCGGTCATATACACAACAAGATCAAGGGCGTTCCACTGGGCTTCCGTTTCAAGATGAGGTCTGCGTACGCTCACTTCCCCACCAACGTCGTTATTCAGGAGAATGGTTCTCTTGTTGAAATTAGAAATTTCTTGGGCGAAAAATACATCCGCAGAGTTCGGATGAGGTCAGGCGTCGCTTGTTCAGTATCTCAAACCCAGAACGATGAGTTGGTTCTTGAAGGCAATGACATTGAACTTGTGTCAAATTCAGTTGCTTTGGTTCAGCAAGCCACAACAGTTAAAAACAAGGATATCAGAAAATTTGGGGATGGTGTCTCTGTTTCTGAAAAAGGAACAGTTCAGCAGGCTGATGAATAAGATCTAAGTTGTCCAGCTTTAGAAAACACCCAGATGCCGAGTGATTTGTCACACTTGTTTGTGAAACTATAAAGATGTACAATAAAAAGAAGAAAGAATGAATGAATAAACTGTTGGTCCTGCAGCCTCTAACTACCAAGGAGGTCCAACGAGGATCAGCCTTTATGGATCTTGGACACAGTATGTCCCACAGAGGCTGATGCTGCCGTCCCTGACTCAGGCAGGTTAGACTCCTTGGTCCAGGTTCCCCGCAGGAAAACGCACCTGAACTCACTTGAGAAGGCTCCCGGTGGGGGAAGAAAGCTGTGAGGTAGGGACCTTTGGGCCCATTCAGCGTGCAGTTGTGGCTTCCAGTATTTTTTTAAAAAAATATTTTTTTTATTGATTTCAGAGGGAAAGGGAGAGATGGAAACATCCATGATGAGAGAGACTCATTGATTGGCTGCCTCCTGCGCGCCCCACACTGGGGACTGAGCCCACAACCCAGGCACAGAATAGAACCGTGACCTCCTGGTTCACAGGCTGATGCTCAACCAACCACTGAGCCACGCCATCCAGGTAGTGGCTTCCACTATTGAAGGGACAGTTGTTACTGATGTCCCCCCTGCTCACCCTGTGGATATCCTATAAGTGTCGGGGTTCTGCCATCCAGCCACGGCAGTATGTGCCGCCCTCTCCCCCTCTCCATGGGAGTCTACCGGAACAATGCAGAATCCAGAAGGAGAAAGGGAAATCTCAACTGTGATGATTTAATGGCTGCGGACTGAGGCCATTTCCCAGCACAACAGCGCCACCTGCCTGAGGTAGCCACCATGTACACGCCCCTTTAAAAATATATTTTTTAAATTGATTTCAGAGAGGGAGAGGGAGAGATAGAAACATCAATGATGAGAGAAAAATCATTGATTGGCTGCCTCCTGCACGCCCCCTACTGGCGATGGGGCCAGCAACCCGGGCATGTGCCCTAACTGGGACCCTTCAGTCCACAGGTCGATGCTCTATCCACTGAACCACCCCAGCAAAGGCCATGTACACCTCTTTTAAGAAAAGGCAGCTATGTCCTGGCCGGTTTGGCTCAGTGGATAGAGCGTTGGCCTGTGGACTGAAGGGTCCCAGGTTCGATTCCGGTCAAGGGCATGTACCTTGGTTGCGGGCACATCCCCAGTAGGGGGTGTGCAGGAGGCAGCTGATCGATGTTTCTCTCTCATCGATGTTTCTAACTCTCTATCCTTCTCCCTTCCTCTCTGTAAAAAAACAATAAAATATATTTTTTTTAAAAAAAAGAAAAATAAAGAAAAGGCAGCTATTAAGCTCTCCTTGAAAGCAGCCAGCGGCCTGACCCTCGGGAGGCCTTGTGACTCCCCTAGCCTTACGTTTCCATTTTGGAGAAAGCCAACTCAAACTTGACAGCTAGTAAGGTCTGACATGGTTAAGGGTAAACGGTGTATTCGGGCGTGCAGCCGGCCTGGTCCTCATATATCTGTTTTGCAATGGAAGAGTAGCAGCTACCCCTTTGGAGGGAAGGCTGTTCCCCACTCTACTGCCTGAAGCAAGGCCACTGGCTCAGTGTGCCCCCGCCCCAATCCCCCCATTTCCAGAGGTTCCCACAACCCACTGGGCCTGGTTTGCTACCTGTTGAGCTCAGTTAAGAGCTGACGGTTCTGGCCTGTGTGACTTAGTTGGTTGAGTGTCGTTCTGTGCACCGAATGGTCGCCAGTTCGATTCCCAGTCAGGGCACATGACCCAGGCTGCAGATTCGATCCCCGTCGGCGTGTGTGAGGGAGGCAACCAATGGATGTTTCTCTCTCACACTGATATCTCTCTCTCTCCCCCTCTCCCTTCCTCTCTCTCTAAAAATCAATTTTTAAAAATGCTGATGGGCCCTAGCTGGTTTGGCTCGGTGGATAGAGCTTCAGCCTGTGGACTGAAGGGTCCTGGGTTCGATCCTGGTCAAGGGCACATGCCTGGGTTGCGGGCTCAATCCCCAGTAGGGGGCGTGCAAGAGGCAGCCAATCAATGATTCTCTCTCATCATTGATCCCCGCCCCCCCTCTGCCTTCCTCTCGGAAATAAATAAAAATATATTTAAAAAAAAGAAAAAAAAATGCTTATAGCTGCGTGGCTGGTGTGGTTCAGTGGTTGAATGTCAACCTATGAACCAGGAGGTCATGGTTTGATTCCCAGTCAGGGCACATGCCCGGGTTGCTGGCTCGAGCCCTAGTGGGGGGCGTGCAGGAGGTAGCTGATCAATGGTTCTCACTCATCATTGATGTTATTAAAAATATTTAAAAAATAAAAATAAAAATGCTGATGGCGTCCATTAGGGTGCAGCAGTCAGCCAACCCATCAGACATATTGCAGGTAGTTGATAGTTAAGGTATTGGACGGGTCTTCCTACTTTTCCCACCATCCACAGGCATCTGGTATTATTGTTGCAACAGTTTCCTCAAAATCAGTTCAAAAATATGTTTCTGACTCTTCCTCCTGGTCCACACACCATAGTCAGGGAGTCTGGTCACTAAATGGGGGTGTTCCTAGAGGGGTTCAACTTGGCTGCTTCCTAGATAGTGACTGAGAGCGAAGGGGTGGGAGTTATACGACCTGTTTTAGAAATTAAAGATTCTGTCTCTGGCCCTTCTTGAGTCACGATTCTTCCTGCTGGACATCTTGGTGGCTACACCCTCTGGGTGGCAGCCTGGCCCAACTAGAGCTGACCAACTAGGGCAGTGGTTCTCAACCTTCCTAATGCCGAAACCCTTTAATACAGTTCCTCATGTTGTGGTGACCCCCAACCATAAAATTATTTTCGTTGCTACTTCATAACTGTAATTTTGCTACTGTTATGAATCATAATGTAAATATCTGATATGCAGGATGTCTTTTCATTGTTACAAATGGAACATAATGAAAGCATAGTGATTAATCACAAAAACAATATGTGATTACATATGTGTTTTCCGATGGTCTTAGGAGACGCCTGTGGAAGGGTCGTTCGACCCCCAAAGGGGTGGCGACCTGCAGGTTGAGAACCACTGAACTAGGGCATTCAAACTAGATTCTGGGTTAGCCTCCAGCATTCTCTTGTTGGCCTGACATGGCCCTAGACCAGGGGTTGGCAAACCGTGGCCTGTAGGATCAATCTGGCTGGCCAGCTAAGAATGGATGTTGCATATGTAAAGAGTTGTAAGAAACAAAGAAGATGCAGTAGCGATGGCATATCCTGCAAAGCAACAACTATTTATTATTGGGCTCCTTATAAGAAAAGATTGCTGACTCTCGTCTTGGCGGCAACTACTTGCTAATGCTGCCCATGTGGCTCAGCCAAGTCAATGAAGTGGCCGTCCCGGTCAAGGTCAACAACAAACTCAGCCACCCATGTTGCAAGACTGTCCTAGCAGAGTTGCCGCTTCCACCACAGCCCACTCCAGGGGGGACCCCACCTTCCCCGAGGCCACCAAACTCCCTGAACACCGAGGTCACCTCCCATGTCCTCATTTCCCCCTCCAAGCTGTGGGAGCACCTCCGATTGGGGGGTGTAGGTTACATGTCTGCGTCCTAGCCTCGAGGGTCAAGGAGCATTTAACCTGGTGGGAATGAGAAATCAAAGGATCCCTGACTAGGAGACAAGACCACATTCTTTTCCCACCTTAGTCATTGGCTGCT